GTCTGGAGGGATTAGAGGTTAGTGTGGCTAGTGAAAGAATCTATCCTTTAAATAATATGATATTAGTAATGTCGGCACATAAGTTGATGCTGGAAGGATATCAAGCGTATATTGCTAATGTAATCGATAGAAGAGTTACTGAAAGATTATGAAGCGATCATTGATTATTATCCAGGAAAAGCTAAGGTTGTAGCAGATGCTCTCAGTCGAAAGACTTTTACTGCTTTGCGTAGTTTGACTGCTTGGTTGATGGTAAAAGAAAATGGTGCATTGATGGTTGAATTAAGGTTGAAACCAGTGTTGTTGGATCGGATGCAGGAGTTACAAAAGAAAGATGATAAATGTTTAGCTTGGTTTGATCGAGTAGAGAAAGGTGGACTTAAGAACTTTGAGGTTAAGTCAAACGGATGCTTATATTTCAAAAATCGTGTGTATGTCCCTAATGACTGTGAGCTGAAACGATATATTTTGTATGAAGCATATTGTAGTCCCTTAACGATGCACCCATGAGGGAAAAAGATGTATCAAGATTTGAAAGAGCATTATTGGTGGCCTGGTATGAAGAAAGATATTACAGAATTTGTAGCAAAGTGTTTAAATTGTCAACAATTGAAAGATGAGCATCAGGTGCCTTCCGGTTTGTTGCAACATATCTCAATTCTGCAGTGGAAATGGGAAAATATTACTATGGGCTTCGTAACGGGTTTGCCTTATTCGACGGGTAAAAATGATTTGATTTGGGTGATTGTAGATCGTCTTACAAAGACTCCTCATTTCATTCCTGTATGAACGGACTTCTCTATGGAGAAACATGTGGAGTTATATATCAAGAAGATAGTGAGGCTGCATGGTATTCCAATCTTGATAGTTTCTTATAGAGATCCCAGATTCACTTCGAGATTTTGGAAATCTTTGCAAGGAGCTTTGGGTACCTGATTAAATTTTAGCACGACGTTTTATCCTCAGATTGATGGGCAATCTGAGAGAACAATTCAGATTTTGGAAGATATATTGAGAGCCTGTGTGATAGATTTTGTTGGATCGTGGGAAAAATATTTGCCGCTTGTGGAGTTTGCATAATAGCTACCAATCCAACATAAAAATGGCATCTTATTAAGCGTTATATGGAAGAAAATACAGAACACCCCTTAATTTGTACGAGTTAAAATATCAGGAAGTGCATGGTCCAGACTTGATTAAAGAAGTGGAAGAAAGAGTTCAAATGATTCAGTACAATTTGAAAGTTACTTCGGACAGACAAAAGTCATACGCCGATCTGAAAAGAAAAGAAATTGAATTTCAAGTGGGTGATAAGGTGTTTTTGAAAGTATCACCTTGGAAGAAAGTGCTTCGATTTGGGCGTAAAGGAAAGGTGAGTCCTAGGTTTATTGGACCTTATGAAATTCTGAAAAGAGTTGGACCTATAGCTTACCAGTTAGCGATGTCGCCAGAAATGGAAAAGATTCATAATGTTTTCCATGTGTCGATGCTTCGGCGGTATCGATCTGATCCTACTCATATTATAACTCCAGATGAAATAGAAGTTCAATCTGATTTAAAATATGAGGAAGAACTGGTTCAGATTCTAGCTTTCGAGAGCAAGCAGTTATGGAATAAAACGATCCCACTAGTGAAGGTTCTTTGGTGAAACCATAAAGTACAAAAAGCTACGTGGGAACGTGAGGAGGATATGAGGAAGCAATATCCCACCTTTTTGTGTAATGAAAATTCGAGGACGAATTTTCTTCAAGTGGAGATTTGTAACATCCTAATTACCGAGTAAGTGACCAAATTATAGGAACTTATAAATTCAGTGGTTGAATTAGAATAAAGTGATAAGTTTAGTGATTTATGAAGGAATTCTATGTGTTGGGTATTATAGAAAATATGATTGTTTAACAAGGGAAAAATGGTAATTTGTATGGGAATGATATTTTAGGATAAATATTAGGTAATGAGAGAATAGTTAAACTCTTTCCTTCTCTTCTTCTTCTCACCGTGGACGCCAGTGGCAAAGGTAAGGATCTAAATTTTGATTGTTCCTTTAATTTTTGGTTTAGTAATTGAAGGTTGGTTATTATATAAGCTTAAGAAAAGCTTATATAGCATTAAAACAACAAGATGAGTATTTTAGAGAAGGATTTGTAAAATGGGGTTTTAGATGAAATTTTGTTACGGATGAGTTTTTGAAGTTTGAATAAGATTTTTGACTTATCAATAGGTTAATTAAAAGATTATGAGTGATAGAATTGGGTAATAACATGTTTTAATGTTCAGTATGATTTGAAGATTCAAGTGTTTAAATGAGAATTTGGGATGTTTGAGACTTATAAATGTGTACAAGTTGGTTTGAAGGTATAAATGTGAGTTTATAAACTCAAAGAATTTGTTTAAGAGAGTTTTGGGTGGATTTTAGGTAATTTTTGAGTTGAAAATGGCTATTCTGGGCCTAGTGTATCGGTACCCTTAGGAGAAGTACTGATACCTCATAAGTTGAACATGCATAATTGAATGAGTTTGTATCGGTACACTGAGGAGTGTATCAATACCCTCAAAACATCGAGTTCTATTTGTGTATCGATACACTAAGGAGTGTATCGATACGCACAAAACATCGAGTGCCATTAGTGTATCGGTACACTGAGGAGTGTATCGATACCCTTGCAATTTCGAATGCAATTTCGGTATTGGTATATATGTAGGTACCGATACCCTCAAGTATGAAATTAAATATAGGGTTCTTGTATATCAAGTTATTATGATTCGATATAATTGAGATGAGATTGATATTTATTCTAGATTGTTTGTGTAGTGACTGAACACAAGTGAATTTCCAGTCAGCTTGGCATTTCGAATATCGACTTGAAAAGATTTGGATTAGACTTTAGTGAGGCAAAGGTGAGTGCAACTTCCCTTTTTCGTAATAGAATCGACGAAGGCTTGTGATAAGACAAACTCAGTGTTTTCGATCGAAAACTTTATATTTATTTTATGATATATTTCAATGTTTTATGAAAATTCCATTTTTACGAACTATGTGTTATGAACCTTGACAAGTGAATATGAACTTTGAATCAGTGAATGTGAATATTCTCTATGTCAGAGAAGTTATTTGAATAGGAAACACTTTGAATAAGGATTGAATCTAGTTATATGATTTAAAGCCCAATGTATGTGTATGAGGATTAGAGGTATAGGTTGCATGCCAAGAGTCGAGGGTCTATGTGGCACTTCGGTGAAAATTACGAGCTGTGGTGACATCATTAGTGCACAACCTCATAGTACTCAAATACCTAGATTTCTCAATAGTATACTTTAGGAAATTGGAACAAAGATATACAAAGTATAATTAATCATAAGTATACCTTTTATATGGAATTCAAGGAAGCTCTTTGAAAAATATTTTTAATAAAACATATAAGATTTGTGTTAATGAGTTAGCACTATTGTATTGCCTCACTAAGTCATAGACTTAGCGTGCGTTCTCTTACGCGTATGTTTGAAGAAGGTTAATGATTGATCTGGGGTTGAGGATAGCATGCGTTTCTGAAGATCAAATCATTGCAAATTAAATGTAGGTTGTTGCTTATTTTGTAAACTATTCGCATGTATTATATGTTTAATTTGAAATGCTCTAGTCGATTTTGTAAACATATATATTTTGTATTTTGTAAACTCTTACCTTTGAGGTTATCTATATAAATTATTACGATATGTTATGAAATGATTTCCGATTTAGAATAGTATTATTTTCTTTATTTTGATTGGAACAATTAGTTTTAAAATTATACCTATTTTTGATTTTCGTATGTTTGAAAAGTCAAATGTGGCACCTCGGATTCGTATATGGATCGGGTACGGGTCAGGGGTATTACATTTAATGGTATCAGAGCTATGATTTAAGTGATTTTAAGTTCAAAATGAAGTCATTTTCGGTTTTAAAAAGAGTACATGCCAATTTTTAAAAAGTTTTTCTGATATGATAAGGTAATCAATATGCTATCTTAGATAATACTTTTAGTAATTTGATCTTAATAGAAGTCGAACTTTGAAGGCTTCCGAAGTTATGTGGGAGATAGGATGGAGGAGAGTAATAACTCCCCTGCCCCTAGTAGATAGAGTGAGGAGCAGGCATAGCCTGGAGATCCTGTTCAAGATCAGGGGACATTCTTTCAGACGTTGGATGTTATCCTGACGCATTTCCAACAGTCTGTCTCTTCAGCCCCTAAGATGAATATCCCCAAAGAATTGAGAAGTCTGGGAGCAATAGAATTTAGGGGAGAAGTAGAAGAAGGTCCAGTTGCTGTCGATATGTGGCTTAATGACTTGAAGGTTATGTTAGAGAATCTCCATTGCTCTGAATTGGAGAAATTGGATGGTGTTGTTTCATTATTAAGGGGTCAAGCCAGAATTTAGTGGTCGAATGTGACGATGCGAGCTTTAAGGGATCTGGTGAATTGACCATTCTTTTTGGAAGAGTTTAAGAACAAATACATAGGGGATCAGTTTATTCGGCAGATGAAGTAGGAATTCATGAATTTAAAGTAAGAGAATCGCACAATATATGAGTTTGAGTGAGAATTCAACAAGTTGAGTAGAGTTTCTGCTGAGTTAGTTCCTACATAGAAGGACTCTTGTGATTGGTTTATAGAGGGTTTACGACCCAGATTGAAAGAACTCCCGTTGGCTCTTAACCTCTCTTCCTTCCAAGAGGTTGTGAAGTGAGCTAAAGCTCTAGAGTGAGCTCAAAATGGAAGGTTTGCAGAGCAGTGAACTCAGTGTAATAAAAGATCTGGTGCATCGTCTGGTTCTTCGTAATCAGAGAATAGTAGAGGTTCAAGTTCTTGACCTTAGACAATGGCAGAATCCGCATTATCCTCTGGCAGAAGATCAAATCTGGGAATAACAAGACAAGCTTATTCAGTGGAATTTGAAGTGGATAAGCCGAAGCTTGTTTTAAATGTGGAGAGTCAGGGTATTTTATTCGAGACTACCCAATGATGGTTGGAGAGCATGCTCAGATAGAGAGATATATGGATGTACTAGTGAGAGGAAGAGGTCGAGGAAGAGGAAGGAATCAATCCGAGTCAACTGCTCAACTTGAAGTACGTTCTACATCTCGAGTTTATAATTTGAAGACCAGTGAAGATTGTGATGACCCAGAAGTCATTACATGTACTTTTCAGATAGCCGATAAATCTTTTTTGGTTTTGATTGACTTGGGATTGAATTATTCTTATGTCAATAGTAAATTGGTTAAAGAGTTGAACCTTCCATTAGAGCCTATTTGTAGTAATATGATTGTGACGAACCCATTAGAAAATAGTGCCCGGGTAGGAAAAGTCTGTAAAGGGTGTCCTATAAGGATTCAAGGAATTGAATTCCCTACTAATCTATTTCAAATTACTCTTTGATGAATTTAAGGTTATTCTGGGGATGGATTGGCTTTATCATTATTATGCCAACTTGGATTGTCGATTGAAGCGAGTACAATTAACAAGTGTGGAGGGATTGGAGGTTAGTTTGGTCAGTGAAAGAATCCATCTTTTAGCTAATGTGATATTAGTAATGTCGGCTCAGAAGTTGATGCTGGAAGGATGTCAAGTGTATATTGCTAATGTAATCAATAGAAGAGTTACAAGAAGTATAATTAAAGATATTTTGACAGTGAGAGAGTTTCCCGACATGTTTCTGGATGATTTTCCTAGGTTACCTCCAGATAGGGAGGTTGAGTTTCAAATTGAAGTGATGTCAGGATCAGCACCCATTTCGATAGCTCGTTACAGGATGGCCCGAGAGAGTTAAAAGTGTTAAAGGCTCGGTTGCAAGAGCTTTTAGATAAGGGATTCATTAGACCTAGTATGTCTCCATGGGGTGCTCCAGTGTTATTTGTAAAGAAGAAATATGGTTCGATAAGCCTCTGTATAGATTATCGTCAGCTTAACAAGGATCGTCAACTTACAAGGTGGCCATAAAGAACAAGTATCCTCTTCCAAAGATAGACAATTTATTTGATCAACTCAAGGGAGCGACTGTATTTTCAAAGATCGATTTACGCTTAGGGTATCATCAGCTGAAAATTCAAGAAAAAGATGTTCCTAGAACGACGTTTAGGACTCGTTATAGTCATTATGAAATTGTTGTAATACCATTCGGGCTAACAAATGCACCTGCAGCGTTTATGGACATGATGAATAGAGTTTTTCAAATGTATGTTGATCAGTTTGTGGTCATCTTTATTGATGACATCTTAGTGTATTCTAAGTCGAAGGAGGAACATGATGTTCATCTTCGGGTAGTTCTTCAAACGTTGTGAGATAAGAAGCTTTACGCGAAGTTTTCAAAGTGTGAATTTTGGTTATCTGAAGTGGCATTCCTTGGACACGTGGCTTCTCTATAGGGCATTCGGGTAGACCCACAAAAGGTTGGAGCTGTATTAGAATGAGAGATTCTGAAAAATGTGTCAGAAGTTTGAAGTTTCTTGGGTCTCGTAGGTTATTATCGGATGTTTGTCAAAAACTTTTTGATGATATCTTTACCTTTAACCAAATTATTAAGAAATGATGTACATTTTGAATGGAATCCTGATTTCCAGAAAAGATTTGAAGCATTGAAGAAAGTTCTGACTGAAGCACCGGTGTTGGTGTAATCGGAATCAAACAAGAATTTCATAATTTTTAGCGACGCGTCCCATAATGGTTTGGGATGTGTCCTAATGCAAGATGGGAAGATAGTTGCTTATGCCTTGAGACATCTGAAGCCTCATGAAAAGAATTATCCGACACATGATTTAGAGCTAACAGTTGTTGTCTTTGCATTGAAAATTTGGCGGCATTATTTGTATGGAAAACGTTGCTACATCTTCAACGATCACAAGAGCTTGAAGTATTTATTGACTCAAATAGAGTTAAATTTAAGGCAAAGAAGGTGGATGGAGTTATTGAAAGATTATGACGCGATCATTGATTACTATCCAGGAAAAGCTAACGTTATAACAGATGCTCTCAGCCGGAAGACTTCTACTTCTTTGCGTAGTTTGAACGCTCGGTTGATGGTAAAAGAAAATGGTGCATTGATGGCTGAATTAAGGTTGAAACCAGTGTTGTTGGATTGGATCCAGGAGTTACAAAAGAAAGATGATAAGTGTTTAGCTTGGTTTGATTGAGTAGAGAAATGTGGACTTGAGAACTTCGAGGTTAAGTCAACCGGATGTTTATATTTCAAGAATCATGTTTATGTCCCTAATGACTGTGAGCTGAAATGATATATTTTGTATGAAGCACATTGTAGTCCCTTAATGATGCACCCAGGAGGGAACAAGATGTATCAAGATTTGAAAGAGCGTTATTGGTGGCCTGGTATTAAGAAAGATATCACAGAATTTGTAGCAAAGTGTTTAAATTGTCAAAAAGTGAAAGCTGAGCATCAGGTGCCTTCCGGTTTGTTGCAACCCATCTCTATTATGCAGTGAAAATGGGAAAACATTACTATGGGCTTCGTAACGGGTTTACCTTATTCTCCCGGTAAAAAGGATTCAATTTGGGTGATTGTAGATCGTCTTACAAAGATTGCTCATTTTATTCCTGTACGAATGGACTTCTCTATGGAGAAATACGCAGAGTTGTATATTTAGGAGATAGTGAGGTTACATGGTATTCCAATCTCATAGTTTCTGATAGAGATCCCAGATTCACTTAGAGATTTTGGAAATCTTTGTCAGGAGCTTTAAGTACCCGATTGAATTTTAGCACGGCGTTTCACCTCAGACTGATGGGCAATCTGAGAGAACAATTCAGATTTTGAAAGATATGTTGAGAGCGTGTGTGATCGATTTTGCTGGATCGTGGGAAAAATATTTTCCACTTGTGGAGTTTGCATATAATATTAGTTACCAATCCAGCATAAAAATGGCACCTTATGAAGCGTTATATGGAAGAAAGTGCAGAACACCCCTCAATTGGTACGAGTTAAAAGATCGGGAAGTGCATGGTCCATACTTGATTAAAGAAGTGGAAGAAAGAGTTCAAGTGATTCATCACAATTTGAAAGTTGCCTCAGACAGACAAAAGTCATACGCCAATCTAAAAATAAAAGAAATTGAATTTCAAGTGGGTGATAAGGTGTTTTTGAAAGTATCACCTTGGAAGAAAGTGCTTCAATTTGGGCGTAAAGGAAAGTTGAGTCCTAGGTTTATTAGAGCTTATAAATTATGAAAATAGTTGGACCTGTGGCTTACCAGTTAGCGTTGCCTCCAGAAATAGAAAAGATTCGTAATGTTTTCCATGTGTCAATGCTACGGCGGTATCAATCTGATCCTGCTCACATCATAACTCCATATGAAATAGAAGTTCAATCTGATTTAACATATGAGGAAGAACCGATTCAGATTCTAGCTTTCGAGAGTAAGCAGTTGCGGAATAAAACGATCCCACTAGTGAAAGTTCTTTGGAGAAACCATAAAGTAGAAAAAGCTGCGTGGGAACGTGAGGAGGATATGAGGAAGAAATATCTCCACCTTTTTGTGTAATGAAAATTCGAGGATGAATTTTCTTCAGGGGAGATTTGTAACATCCCAATTACCGAGTAAGTGACCAAATTGTAGGAACTTATAAATTCAGTGGTTGAATTAAAATAAAGTACTAAGTTTAGTGATTTATGGAGGAATTTTGTATGTTAGGTATTATAGAAAATATGAATGTTTAACAAGGGTAAAATGGTAATTTGCAGTGGAATGATATTTTAGGATAAATATGAGGTAATGAGAGAAGAGTTGAACTCTTTCATTCTCTTCTTCTTCTCACCGTGGACACCAATGGCAAAGGTAAGGATCTAAATTTTGATTGTTCTTTTAATTTCTAGTTTAGTAATGGACGGTTGGTTATTATATAAGCTTAAGGAAAACTTATATAACATTAAAACAACAAGATGAGTATTTTAGAGAAGGATTTGTAAAATGGGTTTTTAGATGAAATTTTGTTATGGATGAGTTTTTGAAGTTTGAATCAGATTTTTGACTTGTCAATAGGTTAATTAAAAGATTAGAAGTGATAGAATTGAGTAATAACATGTTTGAATGTTGAGTATGATTTGAAGATTCAAGTGTTTAAATGAGAATTTGGGATGTTTGAGACTTATAAATGTGTACAAGTTGGTTTGAAGGTATAAAGGTGAGTTTATAAACTCAAAGAATGTGTTTAAGAGAGTTTTGAGTGGATTTTAGGTAATTTTTGAGTTGAAAATGGCCATTCTGGGCCTAGTGTATCGGTACCCTTAGGAGAAGTGCCGATACCTCATGAGTTACACATGCATAATTGAATGAGTCTGTATCGGTTGACTGAGGAGTGTATCGATACGCTCAAAACATCGAGTGTTATTTATGTATCGGTACTCTCAAAACATCGAGTGTTATTTGTGTATCGGTACACTGAGGAGTGTATCGATACCCTCAAAACATCGAGTGCCATTAGTGTATCGGTACACTGAGGAGTGTATCGATACCCTTTGCATTTCGAATGCAATTTCGGTATTGGTATATATGTAGGTACCGATACCCCCAAGTATAAAATGAATAGGGTTCTTGTATATCAAGCTATTATGATTCGATATAATTGAGATAAGATTGATATTGATTCTAGATTGTTTGTGTAGTGACTGAACGCAAGTGAATTTCCAGTCAGCTTGGCATTTCGAATATCGACTTGAAAAGATTTGGATTAGACTTTAGTGAGGCAAAGGTAAGTGCAACTTCCTTTTTTCGTAATAGAATCGTGGAAGGCTTGCGATAAGCCAACCTCAGTGTTTTCGATCGAAAACTTTATATTTATTTTATGATTTATTTCAATGTTTTATGAAATTTCCATTTTTACGAACTATGTGTTATGAACCGTAACAAGTGAATACAAACTTCGAATCTGTGAATGTGAATATACTCTATGTTTGAGAAGCTATTTGAATAAGAAACACTTTGAATAAGGATTGAATCTAGTTATGTGATTTAATGTCGAATGGATATGTATGAGGATTAGAGGTATAGTTGGTATGCCAAGAGTCGAGGGTCTATGTGGTTCTTCGGGATAATTATGTGGTCATCCGGGACAAATATGTGGCACTTTGGTACAACCCTATGTGGCACTTCAGTGCAAACTATGTGGTCCTTCAGTGCAAATTACGAGCTGTGGTGACAACATTAGTGCTCAACCTCATAGCACTTAAATACCTAGATTTCTCAATTGTATACTTTGAGCAATTGGAACAATGACATACAAAGTATAATTAATCATAAGTATACCTTTGATATGGAATTCAAGGAAGTTCTTTGAAAAACATTTTTAATAAAACATATAAGATTCATGTTAATAAGTTAGCACTGTTGTCATGTATTATATGTTTAATTTGAAATGCTCTGGTCGATTTTGTAAACATGTATATTTTGTATTTTGTAAACTCTTACCTTTGAGGTTATCTATGTAAATTATTAAGATATTTTGTGAAATGATTTCCGATTTAGAATAGTATTATTTTCTTTATTTTGATTGGAACAATAAGTTTTAAAATTATGTCTATTTGTGATTTTCGTATGTTTGAAAAGTTAAATGTTGCACCTCGGATTCATATCTGGGTCGGGTACGGGTCAGGGGTGTTACAAACCTTCCCTGCTTTTGACCCTCAAATTGAATTTGGATATGTGATTTGCGTTCATGGAAATCACGTTGTTCGAGTTTATTTGGTTAGGTTTTTTAACCTTTTCCTTCTTAAGTGACTCGATAAATTTGACTCGTACTTGATTATCCGAACTGATTTACCCA